CAAGTCACAGATTAAAATTAATGTTTTGGTCATATTGTTTGGGGCATGATCTTGGAGTCTCTAGAACCCTTGACTTCAGTTGCAGGATTTAACTTTTGGACATGGTACAATCTAGTTAAGGGCATTAAATGTCAAATTGATCTCAGAAAATTCAGTACAAATTTAAATCTCTCTGGCTGAATGTGATGGAAGAAGATGAAAAGATTTAGTTATATGCTGAAATCTTTCCCAATGAAATCAGAGGAACTTACAAGTCCTTCAGATCTGGTTGGATCATGCCCTTTTTGTGGTTTTGTACAAGGGGTCTTCAAAAAGTCTCTAGACATATGTATTTTGTATTTTATAAATTTGTTTTATATATTTTTTGCTGATGGCATTAAAAAGTTGGTACAATGCTGGGAAAAATGCATCACAAAGGAAGGTGACCATGTAGAAAAGTGATACGATAAAAAACAAAATTTAATAGAGTTTTTAAAAGTCCAGAAACTTTTTGAAGAACCCTCATATTTGTATTTGGGATTTTCGTTTCTTGTTTTGTGTTGTGTTTTTGTGGATGTTGTTTTTAGTTTTTGTTTCAGAGCATTCACACACATCCAGAAATAAGATTCACCAGGTTTTCTTTCAGGAATGTATCCAAGAATAGCAGAACAACACCCAAGAGAGAAACTGGTTCATACAATATGTCAAGTCAGAGTCTAGGTTGAGTGAGGCTTGTCATTGAATGGTGGGTTGCTGGGTTCTGTGAACCCAACCATGTCAACCACAAATAACCATGGTTTGTTAACCACAAATAACCACAACTTAAGTGCAGACTTTGTGGCTTGTTTTCTGGGTTGTTAACACAGCACTCCATGATTCAACCGTAATTCAGACTCAACATGCGCTCTGCATTGTGTTGCATTCACCCAGGCACATCTTTGCAGTGGAAACCTTTCATGCTTTATGCTCTCTTCTTCAAACAGTTGTAAGTCAGTGTTACAGGTTATCCTCAAAAACTGTAGTATAGAAACTCTGCTATACATTTAACGCTTTTAAAGCTTAACATTTGTGGCCTGTAAAAGACAGTTTGTTATAGAAGTGTAGCATTATTTCTTCCTTGAGAGGCAGTTGGGATTCTCTAATTAAATGCATTTTCATAGAATTATATCCCACTGGTTTCAGCAGAACGACCAGGATCCAGGAAGGTTCACACATGAGCATATTTCCATCAAAGGGTTGCTGCCAGTTTTTTCTTTCTGCGAACATTGCTTTGTTCCACATCAAATGTCACTTTGGGATGTTCACTGACATCCTGGACCGTTCGTTTGTAGGCACAGGGTTATGGTTAACGGGGGTTGCAAAAAGTGCCACGGTGCGTGGGCCCTTTGGATCCAAGCCAGTGTTTTTGTATGTACTTAGGAAGGTTGTCCCATCCCTTTTTTCAGGTTTTCTGTCCTTGTTTTTAAAAAAGAGTCTAACCAAAAAACACTTTTCTGATTGAATTTCTTTTGCACTTTTTCATAAGGCTAGCTTGCATTTCTGCATAAAAAACACCTTTGCTTGCTTTTATGTGAAATCATAGGCAAAAAGAAATTCTGATTTTACTCAACTGGCACACAGGTAGGAAATTTCTAATAATATTGCTTTCCTATGTTTCCCTCTAGTGCTGAGTCCCAAAGTCCTTGGAATAGCAATTGCCCGCTATGACTTCTGTGCAAGAGACATGCGCGAATTGTCCTTACTCAAAGGAGATGTGGTTAAAATTTACACGAAGATTAGTGCCAATGGCTGGTGGAGAGGCGAAGTAAATGGAAGGGTAGGCTTCTGTTTCTAGAGTGCAGCAGAATTTTTGTATCAATCTTCCTGTGACACTTTATTCACTTTCCATGAATCTTTTATTGCTTTGATTTATAGAAAATATATTTAACCAATCTTTCTGAAGTTGAGGCTGCAAACAAATACTCACTCTTCAGGCACTAAATCCCCCTGAAATCAGTGGGGCTTCCTTATGAGTAGAAATACAGAAGCTTTTGCTGTAAAGGGGTTTAACCAAGCCAGAAAATGCAACATATTCCAGAACAATAAAATGAACAGAACTCAGAAAGGTAGTTGCTAAAGCAGCATGAGAATGGTAGGAAGCAGCCATATACCTTTCAGAATATTCAAGTCTTCAAATCTCTGTCTAAGGACAAGAGCAGAGAGAGAGGGAGGGGAGAGAGGGAGGGGAGAGAGAGAGAGAGAGAGAAAGTCTCTTGCTTGAACCTCTCTTACTCTCTTCTTTTTCCCTTAGGAGAAAGTTGCAGGATCCTGAAACTGGAATGCTGCTTTCTTGTCCTTCCCACAGAAAGGATGGTGATGAGGATTCCTTTACTGTTTGGAGGAGGAACTTAGCAACCATAATTTTTGGCCAGTCAAAAACTGTAGAACCCTCCTTAAAAACAAGAAAGGCTCATTTCCTTGAATTCAGCCTAGAAGTAAAACTGAAATCAATACAACTTTTATCAAATCAGCTTGTGTGATCCTTAAGGGAGACCTCCACAAAGCTGTCCAGTCATCCCTACTCTGGTGCTTTTGAGATCATAGAAGCAGGGCAAGACAAACTTGCCCAGCTCTGAAGCTCTGGAAGGAACATCTGATGGATATTCTTGCCCTAGCAGCATGGCAAGCTGCAGGATGCTGGGAGCTGCAGTCCAGCAGATTTGGGGGCCACCAAGTTGGGAAAGCTGCAGCAGTCAAATCCAGGTTTTATGAAAGCAAGAATAAATTGCCAGAAGCTTTGGTGAACTGCATTTATAACATATTTCTCATAACTGCTGGAATAACTGAGATCTTTTTTCCAAAGAAGGCGCAAGACCTATGCAATAAATGCAAGCCATCAAAGCCTTTGGCCACTAGCACCATTCAGCTCTGCTGCAATAAGGTACGATATAGCAGCATCACCTGGATGTTAACCCTGTCTTTCACTTGGGTCGTTTTCAAGGCCTTAATTAGCCTTCAGAATCAATATTGTGTCACTGGCTTTATCTGTACCAACTGTATAGGCTGTTCTTCATTGTGGTCTCTGGGCATCACACATCATGGGTGTTGCACCTGTGCAGTGCCTGTTGCCGGGTTTTCTGTCCATCCCGATAGCATTGAAAAGGGGTGGGGGGAAGCCTCTTTTGTCATTGATGGGCTACCAAAGGCCCCATCAGTGAGCTGTTCGGTGTTGACCTGAAAAGGCTTGGAGATCAGCAGGCTTTTCCTGATATCAGTTCCCTCTCTCTCTGATGAGTGGATGGGAATGGTTGCCCCATGTGTATATGGAATCGCACAATTAATAGGTTGACTGCTCGTTTCCCGTTGCTTAATTTCCACTTTAAAAACAAAAGCATACTTTCTGAAGCAGAAGAACAGAACAAGTAGGAAACAGCCATTCAGCGTAGCCTTGGAACACGGTGTTTGTGCATTACCCATGTATGTATGTATTGCATTTATATACCACTGCAATAGCCCAGAGGGCTCTCTGGGTGGTTTACAAACATTAAAACCCCACCAATCCTAAAATAAATAAATTGGCTAGACCATGACTATGTATAAAATAACATGGTTGAAATGAATGAAATAAATAAATATACTATTAAAATTGATTAACTTTAAAATATTGGTTAAATAGAAAGGTCTTGACCTGGCACCGAAAAGCGTATAATGAGGGCGCCAGGCGGACCTCTCTAGGGAGCACATTCCATAGTCGGGGCACCACTGCAGAGAAAGCTCTCCTCTGAGTACTCTGTCCCTAACCTCTTTCAAAGAGGGTTCCTGGAGGAGGGCCTCTGCTGCCAGTCTTAGGGGGTGGGAGGGCAAATAGGGAAGAAAGCATTCCTTTAGGTATCCTGGTCCCAAGTCAGTTAGGGATTTATAGGTAATAACCAGCACCTTGAATTGAGCCCAGACTTCGAGGGGAAGTGAATGGAACTGATAGAGGACTGGGGTTATATGAGAGTAATGCCCAGTCCCCGACAGCATCCTGGCAGCTCTATTTTGCAGCATCTGAAGTATCTGGACCGTTTTCAAGGGCAGCCCCATGTAGAGCGTGTTACAGTAGTCCAAACGGGAGGTAACCAGTGCATATGTCAGTGTTGCCAGGCATTTCTCCTCCAGGTAAGGACACAGCTGATGGATCAGCCAGAGCTGAAGGAAAGCACTCCTCACTGCTGTCACTTGGGCTTCCAGGGAGAGTTCCGGGTCGAGGAACACTCCTAAGCTGCGGACCCTGTCCTTTAGAAGAAGTGCAAACCCGTTCAGGGCAGGGCCCAGGTCACTTACCTGGAAACTCAAATCACCTACGAACAGGATCTCCGTCTTACCTGGATTGAACTTCAGTTTATTAGCCCTCATCCAGCCCATTACCTCAGCCAGGCACCAGTTCAGCACAGCCACTGCCTCACCTGGATTAGTTGAAAAGGAGAGGTAGAGCTGGGTATCATCAGCTTACTGATGACTCCACAGCCCAAACCTCCTGATGACCTCTCCCAGCAGTTTCATGTAGATATTAAATAGCAAGGGGGACAAAATGGAACCCTACTGTACTTCATCGCAAAGTTGCCATGGCGCAGAGCCAAAGTCCCCCAGCACCACCTTCTGGAATCAGCCGGCAAAGTAGGAGCGGAACCACTGCCGGGCACTGCCTCCTACTCCCAGTCCTGACAGCCTATCCAGAAGGATACCATGGTCAATGGTATCAAAAGCCGCTGAGAGGTCCAGGAAAACCAACAGGGATGCACTCCCTCTGTCCGTCTCCCTGCACAGATCATCATACAGGGCAACCAGAGCAGATTCAGTACCATAACTGGGTCTGAAACTGGACTGAAATGGGTCCAGATCATCAGTTTCTTCTAAGAGTGCCTGGAGTTGTCCCACCATCACCTGTTCCAACACCTTGCCCAGAAACGGGATGTTGGCCACCGGTCCATAATTGGCGGCCATCTCTGGATCCAGGGATGCCTCCTTTAAAGAAGCAGGGACCCAGCCCTCCCTCAGTGAGGCTTTAATAACCTCCTGGATCCAGGAGCCAATCCCGTGTTTGGCTTTGGTAAGTAACCATGAAGGGCAAGGGTCAAGTAAGCAGGTGGTTGGATGTACTTGTCCAAGCACCTTGTCCACATCATCAGGCCTCATTAACTGAAATTCATTCAATTAAGCTTGACTAGACAGAGTTCTGGACACTTCCCCTAAAGGAACTGTATCAACCGTGGAGTCCAGCTTGTGATGAATCTAAGCAATTTTCTCCTTAAAGTACTGGGCAAAGTCGTCACAGCGGGCAATTGATGGTGGCACAGGATCTTTTTTAGGGCCTGGATGTATTGGCCCATGTACCACTCAGAAAAGCTCTGTATGGGGAAAGATGTCTGTGTAGCTGTTATTAATGAGCCATATTGCTCATACTTCTGCCTAGAATAGCTTCTTTTTTCCTTTGATCTGCAGCACACTTTGGTACAAGCAAACAGTGGATGTGTTTTAGCTCCACTCTGCCAAAAGCGTGTTGGCATGTTCGTAAAGGTTCAGAGGAGGGCACGGGGATGATCCGGGGGATGGAAGCAGAGTCCTTTGAGGAGAGAGTGAAAGAACTGGGCATGTTCAGACTTGAGAGGAGAAGACCGAGGGGAGATAGGATAGCACTCTACATATACTTGAAAGGCTGGACATGAGGAAGAACTTCACAAAGAAACTTCACAAAGAACCTCACAAAGAGGAAGGCCAGGATCTCTTCTCATTCATCCCAGAATGCAGGACACAGAATAATGGGCTCAAGATACAGGAAGCCTGATCCCAGCTGGACATGAGCAAGAACTTCCTGACAACGATGGAATCAATGACCAGGGAGGTTGTGGGCCCCTCCACATTGGAAGCATTCTGCTAAGGATGCTTTGACTTGGCATCCTACCTTGAGCAAAAGAGTGAACCCAATGGCCTAACTGGCCACTTCCAGCTCTACTTTCCTATGATTCTGTGATTCTGCACTTGCCAGTTACCCTCACTGTAAATTCTGAATTCAGGAAAGGCCCATTTCAGTATGCAGAAGTACCATGGATTTGCAAAGCATATACAAGAAAAGCAAACCCAGTTGGTTAGAATACTTACACAAACAAATCTAATTCTCACATAAGAGGATTTCCCATGTCTGTACTGCTGCAAACCCTGATTGTATGGTGGGGCGAATTCTGCCACATAGAAAGCAAACATGAAAAGTAGAACTGTTTCCATCGCTCTTAATTTACAGTGACCAGAAATTCCCCTCTTATTTCTACATATGTATGAATCCTCACCTGGACTCTGCAATGGTATAAGTGGACTTACCACCTAATCTGCTGTGCACTAGATCTGAGTTGTATCTGCTCATATCAGACTTGCCCTGTTTCCCTGCCTCACATGAACACCAGAATGGCCTGAGCTGCTCAATCAAAAGTTGGCAATCGGTCCTATTGGTGATCAAGTCCATCTTTTTCACAAGCATTATGGAATCATTAATGCACCTTGCTCTGTTTGGAGAGAAGCTGAATGCCATGCCACAGAAGTGAATTCCTTGCACACTTTTAATCCTCTTTTTTCACTGTTCTGAACTGGTCCAATTGGAGGGAGGGAGGGAGGGAGGGAGGGAGAGGTGGGGGCAGCAATCCTATAAAGAATTTGCTGAGTGGAAGAAATAGACATCTAATATAATGTTATGTCCTTTGTTTTCCTTTGTCTTATGCAGGTGGGTTGGTTTCCATCTACCTATGTGGAAGAGGATGAATGACTTGCAGATTTAGTGGGCAATTTTGATCATAAACTTCAGGGACTGTGACATTCAGACATCTGCAAAGCGTTATTCAACTTGTTAAGTATTTGAAATGCAGCACTTCAGTCTGTTGAAACCCTCCAGTCTTAACACTGGGATTACTGAAGAAGTTTGTGTTGACAGATTAATATCTCATTCAGAGCTGTGCAAAGAAGAACCTGTCCACCTGCCACCACTGGGGACCAGAACAAAACTCTAACCTCTCCTTCCTGAAAAATCAGTTCAAAACAGACTTTTAAATGCTTCATTTCATTCCATCCACAGTGAATACCAAGTATGGGTAGCCATTTCCTCACCTTCTCTTTCTGTCTCTGTCTGTCTCTCTTTCTGTTAGCTAACATCTCTGATGGCATTAGCTGATGAAGGCTTACTTATCACAGCTTATCAGTGCTACCGGGGGGGGGGGGGAGTTTGAGCATTCCAGTAGTCATGTGGTCAGTATTATTTGTCTTGAAATATCCAGCAGCGCTAATTAACCTTGCTGATGACTGCACTCTCACCAAGGCGGCAATTTCTACACACACTTTCTGGGGACTGAGCTTAATTCAGCACAGTTCGGCGTGGCATTCCAGAGTTGGGGAGAGAAAACAAAGGAATTTAGTTCCAAGGTTATTTTAACTTGCTCAGCTAAGATTTTCCTTAAGTTATTTCATTAAAAAATAGAATTTGGAAGATGGGTTGTGACAGGTCTGTTTGAAAAAGGAATTTGAAAAGGAGTCTAATATTTCAGGGCCCTAACAAAGAATATTTTAATAGAACAATAGCTTTTAGCACACATGCACGCACACAAATACACACCCCTACCTGTTGTGTTTAAGTCTATATAAACGGACATTATATGAACTGGTTGCCTTCTCAGGACATTCAAGCTGTGTTAATGGAAGGGGAACCATTTGCTTTCATTATACATAAAAACTGCAGTTGGAAGCCTTGACAATCTCTGTTTCACTCTGCTTGTGTGGAGTCCCTAGACAACTGGGGAGAGATGCATGTGTGAATGCATGCGCGCCATTTTGATTCACCCCGATCATCCCTAATGCAAACTTGTTTCAAAACAGAATGCTTGTTCACAATGCTATTACTTCTAAGTGAGTATTTGCCAAGGCATCCTGTGCCCAGCATTTGCTAAGACCACAACAATCTGCCTTGGTCCAGGAGTTGTCTCTAAGAATGGGATGGGTGGATGTTCACAGGTGTTAGTGTTCGAAAGGCTTTGCACCTCTTTTATAATGTAAACTATTAACATCAGCGGTTATATACCGGTAGTTTAGGGAAGTTCAAGGTGATGTAAATGTTACATTATTTGAATACATTATTTGGATGGAATCAGCTACAGCGTTTGTAAAGGGTTCCAGAAATGTATTTAATATAATGGCATGTCCTTAAATGTTAGTCTAGGAATTCTCCCTGGTGCTTTTTTCCTGTAATAACTAGTTTTGTCTGGTGGACTAGATCCTTAAGTAGGCAAAATGGCTTTACCAGGAGTTCTGGCCTGTTTTTTAATGGAGTAGGGTTTTATTTCTAGGCCTATGAAACGTAAGGTGCCGTGTCATCAGTGTTTATATGTCTTGCAGGGGAAGAATTGGCTTAAAAGAAAGATTATAGCCTTTCATCCAACAATTTGATGAATAGCGGAGAGACAGCTGCCTTTGGAATTCAGGAGCTGAGGGTACTTGGAGAAGTGAAGCCATAGGAAACACCTCACTCCTAGTGGAAAGACTTCTGCATTAACTTTTGCGACATGAGGAGAGGCAGCTTTTAGTATGCGCAACTGTGGTTGCCAGTTTGCACCCCAGAGACCTTCTCTTGCCTTTGCACCAGCAGCTGCCCTAGCCTGCTTGAGACTGGATCCTACCAACTATTCTCTCTTCCTGTCTGTCAGAACAAAGACTCCTCTTTGCTCTGGAGCAGGCGGAGGAGAAGGGGAGGGTGAACAAAGTTTTAGTCTTATTTTAACTGCTTCAGAAGTGCTAAGAGTAAAACAAGGTCTCCGGATTGTGAATTGGCAATCCAATATAGATGATTTTGTGGGCCTTCTTTTCCCAAGGCAGTGAAGGGGGCAGGTTCTATTTGAACTGGAGCTCTGGGTCAGGGTTGTGTTGTGTGTTGTCTTTGTTTCGTGCCCTGTGTTGAATAAGTTAAATGCTGCAATGAGTTCTATTTCAAATACCAAAGATTTAGTGTGTCAGATCCACTATTTCTTTCATTTTTCCTGCAACACTTTTCCTCTCTATACCCAGTGAACTGGGACAGTACTTTAATTTGTAATATTATGTAAATATGTGAATATATTAATAAACTGGTTAATTTCTTGTTAAATGAGTCAGAGATGATGAGTGATGATTGCAAATGCTTGAGTTTTTATTTTTGAAGAAGGTTCTCCGACATTCCTAACATGCCATACAGACATTTCTAACAACATCTTAAACATGAATCAGGCACAGACACGATGTATTCTGCATTGCAGACCCAGCGATGTTTGTATAGAGGCTATACATCATCAGGTTGTGCAGACTCATCAGCTCCACAGCCCTTCTCATGAACTGGAATGTGGGGAGGTTTGAGAATATGAATGGTTTGTGCCAAGGGAAGGGGAAGCTTCCTGGACATTCCTTGGCAACACAACAACCACATCCTATCTTTATTGGCCTCCTGTTTTCTAATTTTCATCTGCTGTGCTTTAAATTGCATTGCTCTTAACTAGTTTTCATTACCTTGTATTGCGTACTGTTGCAATGTTACCGTGTTTAACCTTTGTTAACTGCTTTGTGTGTTTTTAGCACAGAAAAGCAATAATACTGCTGTTACTTGTAATAACGACAATTTTCTGCAGCACAATAAGATAAGTGAGCAAAGGAACATTGCCTCATTTCTCAGGCAGTGGGGCCTGTCTCCCTAGCCTTTTCTGTTGCACTGCTGTATAGCTTTGAATAGTCACAGAAGTAATAAAACCTTGGTATGCTGTGAGAAGCATTTCAAAGGGCTTCCTTTGAAAATTCAAATACTATCTCCGTAATATTTATAATATCACTCTAACAATATTTTCCTATTAATAGTTTTTCATGTATATCTAGGTCAGTAGTTCTCCATTAGTATTCTGGAGAATCTCATCATTTTAAAGAAGCTAACTAATTATGATATATTATGTCATAAAAATAGATAAAATACATACGCAAAATGCTTATACCAACTGTATACAGTAAAACCTTGGATTGTGAGTAACTTGGTCTGCGAGTGTTTTGCAAGATGAGCAAAAAGTTTTCTAAATTTTAACTTGATAAACGATCGATGTCTTGCATTATGACTATTATGCGCGCTTTGCCTGCTGAGTGTCACAACTGAGTGCCGGTTCTTCTCGCTCTCGCTGTGGGGGTGAGTACAGCATTGTCTCCCCCCCCCCC